AAACTTTTAATGCCAAGAAAACGAAAAACTTTTCATAAAGATTCTTTAAATAATAAAATGAAGTCTGAGCTTTAACAGCTAAAAACTGGAAACTAATTGGAAATAAAAATTGGGGTGGGGGGGGGAAAGAAAGAAAGAAAGAAAAGGCAAACTTACTGAAAACTAAGGACGACCTTCAAAACGAAAATATACCTAATTCTTCAGACGACCAAACTGTGTTCCTTGTAGAATTCAAAGCTGCTCTGTAGAAGCAAAAAATTGTAGTTCTTGGAAAAAGTATGCAATGAGGTTCAAAGTGCCCAATAGTAGGACTACTTATTTAAACAAGTGTTCAGAATGTCCTATCCTGTTAAGCTTTGTGTGTGTGGTGGTGGGGGGGTTGTTAAATGTTGGGTGCGATCTGTAAAAATTATTACCTACGAGGAGGGTGATCGTAGACGCAAGAAACTTCTAAAAGATTGGCGGCGCAAGAAACTTCCAAAAGATGTTGTCTTCTGTAAAATCTTAAAATTGTGAAAGTAGTACTGGCTCAAAGTTGAGGAAAAGAAAAAATATATTTAAAAAGATAAAAGTCTTTACATAATCAGGGTACGTCTAAGAAACTAGAAGCTCCATTTTTTAGGCAACAGCTAGAAGGTTTTATATATAATCTATTTAAGTGACCAGATTTTAGCAAGATGGCACAGAATAATTTCATTCTTTAAAAATATATATGTGCACGATACACTCAAAAGGGATAGATTTACCTCTAAAATAAATACCAATATAATTATAAATTTAGGTCTTTTGGGGAATGCATTTGTTGTCTATCAAATATTTTAATTCTGTCGTTTTAAGCAAAATTAGCAATTTTAAGATGATGTGAGAAATTTGAGATATTAATTCATGAGTTAAATATCACATAATACTTATTTATGAGCAATGTCCTGATAGGTTATTGCTGAGCAAATTTATACAATGTATCCTCCTGTGCTTATGACATACTACACCGGAACAAAATAAGCTGAGATACTTAATACAATCTACCTTTTTACATAAAGCGTAGGTGTGACATAAAGAGATTTATCGATATTGTTTAAACATACTCATTTAGGTTCATATATGATCCAAATGAGAAAGCTTACGTACTAATGATACAGTATTTTAGATCTGATGAACCCTGCCCTAAGGCCCCCTCCCCCCCCAAAAAAATGAAGACTGATCAGAGGAAACTTTCAAATTACTTTTTTAAACTGCATGCATGATATGCAATTAATATCAGTCAGCTACCTTTAAAATTTATAACATCCTTAGGCATTGAACAGAACAGAACAGAATGAAACTGTTTCCTGCTCAGGGAGGTGGCTCACGCTGAATGGGATGCACGGGTGAAAAAAAAAATTATTCTGTTGGCTTGGAGCTACCCTTAATAAACTTTAGGCGGCCGCTTTGCGAACTGACTAGCCTATCTGGGTGGTCAAGAATTTAGCGATATCGGCTTTGAAGAGTGTCATGTAAAATCGGGCATTAAAAAAGAAAGAAAGAAAGAAAAAAAAAAGGAAAAGTGACCGACATTTATAGTGAATAAACGCAAAATGTCAAAGCGAAATTAATAGTCCTGGGCAAATTGCCTCTTTGGACTAATAAAATACAAAATACGAATTTCAGATTTTACATTATGCCCAAAGGTGCGTTTTTTTTTTTTTTTTTTTTTTTTTTTTTTAACGTTTTATGGGTTTCTTTTATTTATTAAATATCATGTTCTTCGCACTTAAACCATAAAATTCCATTTCAACAGCAATATCGCAAAATAATTTTATAATGAGCATATCTTTAGAATTTCCGATACATAGTCTCGCGCGCTGGAGATTAAATCCCCCCCCCGAACAGTGTTGCCATTGCTCGCTTTGAAATTGTTGAGTTGTTAATCAAAAATTCATTAAAGTTTTACAAAATATGTAATAGATACTAAAACAAATCCGGGCTTCCAGATGCCCATATTCAGGTAGAAACGTACGTTATTCAGAATTTGATGGCTGTAGATACCGTTGTTTTATCACAATGCGAGAACCATACATGCATTTATGCAGATTCTTCATTATTTAATTTCTTTAAATATAATACAGGGCTGTAATATTTGGTGGCAACAGTTTGAAAAGTGAACCGTTATTTAAATTTTTCAATGCAAAATGCCAAAACGAAATTAATAGCCCTTCTCGGTCGGCTAATGCCCTTTGGACTAAAAACTGCCCGAATCTAGAAATTACCTTGATTTTCTGATTAATGTTTTTCTCCCCTTCGCAGAACTGATGTTCTTGATATATAAAAGTAACATCTGTTATTTAATGATGTAACTTACAACAGCAATATTTGTTATCATGAAAAGAAAGTTAGAAATTTTTACGATAATTTCTTTAAGCAATAAAAAATCAGACAACGAAAAAAGCATGTGTTTCTTAGGAATTCAAAAGTCATTTCAAACAGATAAACATATGATGGCCTTAATGCTATGATGTGTTTTGATTCTAGAAATATCCTTACTTGACTCTTTTCAAAGTTTTTGGAACATTACGTTATGCTAGCATGTTTTACCATTCATTTATTTTTGGTAACTGCTGACCTATAAGTCACTAATGGCTAGTGGTTTTGATGATCACCATGTTCTTCATTTTAATTTTAACAATCCATCTGATTTACTGTATTGAGTTATAGTGGTGCCCCATATGCTGACTGCTGTACACAAAGGTCACCAGTGACAAAACTGCCGGTCACGGCATTTGATAACTTACAGTGCTCTTCAGCTTAATTTTAACAATCCAACTAATTTACTGTATCGTATTACACCGATGACCCATGGATTGCCTGCTGGTACACAGGTTCATTCCTGGGGGGGGGGAAACACCTGCGCGAAGGTTTTTGTGCACCCCTATATAATTATATATACATATATAATTTAATAATTTATTTTGGCCTTTGAATAAAAAAGGCCTTTTTTAATCCCTTTTGGAAAGAAAAAAAAAACTTGGATAGTGTCCTTGAACAGGTAACTTTCACTTCACATGATACCGACTGAATTTAGCGCCCCTAAATTTTGCCAGCTGCATGCGCGGCATTGGCCCACCATGAATGTCTGTCAGTACACAAAGATCATTATTGACCAAGTGACAGTCACTGCATTTAATGAGTAACACTGCTCTTCGGATGTAGTTTTAAAAGAAATGTTTCTACATTTATTACATCAACTTATACCAGGGCCTATGAGTTGACTAAAGGGACTATAAACGTAAAGTCATCAGTGACCACAGCCTTAGCAAACACCAGTGTGCTTCGATTTAATTCTAATTTAAAAACTTTAACTAATTTAAAACTGTCAATATTTACCTAAATTTACAACATGGGTGACCGCTGTATTGAACATACAGGTGATCAACAACTTACATATTGACAGTTACTGGCAATCAACCCACACATCACACGATACAGTAAATTTAGATAGATTAAAATTTTCCAAATTAAACTGAAGGATATAGGTGCTCGATAATGCTGTTCATTACTGGTGACCCACAGGCTGATGGTCACTAGCAGCTAATCTATTTAACATCTTATATACCTTTCATCCAGCAAGAAAATTCTCGAAAACAACAAATTATCAACGAAGCAGATAAAAATCTCCAATATCACTCTTACTTAAAAGAAATAAGTTAATCAAAACTAGTATAAAATTAACCTAAAATACTGGAGTGTTGAATTTTCTTCTTGAATCTGCTTATAAATTTCCTATTAAATAAACTATAATTTAAAATAAAGCATACAATTAAATCAATCCAAAAAGCTTGGCTGAATGAATGTATGAAAGTTTTACCCATAAATACTAAAATGAAATAATATGAACTTACATCTATGAAAGAGTTAGGGGAGCCTCCTAAAAGAAGTCTTTCTCGTTGCTCCCTGAGTTCACGCCGTTGTTGTGCTAGCTGTAACCAAGCAGGCGCATGGGCCTCTTTGCCTGTCAATATTTCCTGATTTTCTTTTACCAATCCTGTGCTTGTAAGGCTTCCATTCATTGATGTAGTAGGTGATGGAACAATAACAGAGCTTGATCTTTGCTGAGGTTCCTCTTTAACTGATGAAGGAGCATGAATCTCAGAGCTGGATTCAGTCTGAGAGATTCTAGGAGTGTTTTTCTTATCATTATCAGGAGGTAAATTTAAAGGAACATCAGGAACACTTGCTAGCCTTTGTCTTGGATGTATAGTGTCATTGCAAGAAGGAGGATCTGCAGGTGAAAATTTCAAAGGTGATTCTCTACGTATCAAATTAATTTCTTTCAAGGGTGACACACTCCTTGGAGTAACTTTTCCTTTCTCACAGAAAGACTTTGATTTTTTCTTTAAATCTGGTTTAGTGATATGTGGCTTTGAAACTTCCGAAATTTTAATAACTGTGCTGTTTTGGCAAACACTTATCATTTCAGTATTTTCTTCTTGCAAATGAAAAGAATCTTCAGAGGATGTATCTGTTATGAGCTTTTCATCTTTTTCGCCTGGTCTTCCTTTGTCACTATGTTTTTGTTTAATGGATCTTCTAGCAAAAACACGAAGTAGTTCAGGTTCTGGATCATCAGTGATTAAAGTTGGTACTTCTTTCTGTTGTCTCCAGCTATTTTCTTGACTTTTATTTTGTGATTCTGACTCTTCATTAAACTGAAAGTCTTTGCATTCACTCTCAGATAATTGAGGAGGTTTTGGAGATTCATTTCTTAATTGCAAATTGGTTTGAGGCATCACAGGAGAAACATTTCCTTCACTATTAGAAATATAAGATGAAACATTAGCAAGCGTAGGTGCTGGTTGAATTTTGACATCCCATTTTGTAGAATTATCATAAGTCTTTTTCTCCTCCTTCATAAATTTTAGATCATTTTGATTTGCTTTAGTAGAATGCATTTTAAATTTAATTTCACCTGATATATCAGTCTCAGAAGTATTTTTCACCTCTTTAGGATTAATAATATCGCTACACACTTTATCTTTGATTTCCGATTTTGGAATAGATTTATGAATTCTGATTTGGACAGGTAACTTTTCAGGTTTTGAAACTTTTTTCCCTAGGTTAGGTTCTACCTCTTTCTTAATGTCCGAGGTAAGACTTCCAGAAAAGGAATGCCTATTATTAGATTTGTCTAGCTCTTTATTTTTCGTTGTCATTTTCCTATCAGATAATTTTCGTTCTACTAACACATTAGAATTCTTTTTATTAAGTTCGGATGAATTTTCGCGATTGGCAAATGAGATCGGTTGATATTTACGTTCCTTCATTCTTTGACTAAAGGGGACGATTTCAACAGATACACGTTTCTGAATATTCCCATTTTTTACATTAGTCATATTTGAATTAACCTCAGGTAAATGAGACTTTTGCACTGCTTTTAATGCTTGTTTGTCTTTTGGAATCGCCTTTTGGCTTGCATCTAAATTAGGCGAACTAGATTTAAGTGTATCTGATAATGGCAGTTTAGCAATATCATCTTTTTGATTTGTATACTTACATTTCATATTGTCGGATTTTGAATTGACAGATATTGTAATTTTATCTTCCAGCATTCTGTTATCACAAAGAGTAGATGTGGAAGCATTTACTGTCACATCTGTTATAGACGATGTTGGAGCTGAAATGCCAACAGAACTTATCCAAGTTTCACATCTTTCTTGCTTTACACTTGCTTTTTCCACATTCTTTATACCTGCATCACTACATGTCTGAACAGATACTCCCGACTTTTCTTCAACAGCAGCAAAATTATGAGCTTCAGTGACTAGTATATCTTTGAGATCATCATTAAAAGTTGTATGGTGCGACACAAATATTCTACTTTCTTCAATACCCATAGACACAGATTTACTGCTCATTATACTTTCTTCTTCAAAGTTCCTAGAAGATATTACAGAGTTTTCCTTATGCCCTTCATCAGCAATATTTTCCTTCGACACTGACTCTAAATCACTCTCAAGCTTTGCCTCTTTTCTTGGTGGCTTTAATACAAATTCACTCTCAATATCTAAGTTTTCTGTAACGGTTTTCTTAAAAGTTTCAGAAATAAATTCTTGAGATGCCATCAAGCGCTGCCCATTCAGTTCTTGAGAAGGTGAAATATTCTCATGTTTATTAGCAATTTCACTAGAACTTACTAATATATCTTCCATAAGAGTATCACATTTGCTTTTCATTTCAATAGTTTCAGCATTAGTAACAGTCTTCTTTTCAGAACTAAAATCAATTAGCTGATGAGCATAATTTTTTGTGAATAAATGCTTTGATTCCTCTAATGAACTTCTTACTTTTTCTGCAGTCTTGAAAGAATTTGATCTTTCAATGCTTTTTACAAGAGAAGATACACTTAACACTGGTTCATTGCGTGTTAAAGTACAATCCTCAGCATGAAGAAATTCATTTTTTGAACTTTCCTCAAAATTACTTTTTGAAAGCCTAAAACTGTCATTTTTGCTTGTAGCAGTATGTTTTTCTTCCAAATTCTGCATTAAATCACAAGGTGCCTCACATGTACTCTTATTAGTGCAGCTGAAGGAATCACTTTCTACAGAATTAATATCATCAGTTTTATCTTCCTGTACTTCTAGCGCAGTAACAGTATCTTTATTAAGTTTATTTGGAGTTTCTTTTACATGCCATTCCTGATCGTTCTCGGAATTAATTTTTAAGCTTTGAAAAGAACTGTCCAATAGACTTCTTTCTTCATGAATGATAGTCTCACTTGTGACTTGCAATGATTCATTGTAACAAAGTGAAGAGGATATCTGGGATGCTTTCTTTTCTCCAGAAAATACTGAAGTTGTTTCACTAACTGAAGAGGATGAAATTTCTGTGAAAAGGAAAAAAACACTATTTATTTTTAGCATCTAACATAGCAATTTTAATGTATTTTGACAATTAAGTTAAGTTGCTACTTATGCAATTTTCTTTTTTGCATATCATTAGCAAGTAAAATTTTGTAAGAATCATAGTTCAGTATGGATAACCTTATAGAAAAACTTAAATTCTTAATTCATAGATTATGTTCTGTGTATTTTCTATTTTACTTTTTACATTCAGTTTACAGATTTTAAACCCATATATACTTCACCAAAATATACAAATTTCCAAGATGTTACAATACAAATTCCCATCAATTTTTATTATACATAAAAATAAGAAAATTCAAATCAATGTTTAGGCAAGACTACAGAACTACATCCAGTCAGAAACTGCTTCAAAAGCATTTGCTTCATAACAAGCTCACTAACAGGGAAATATAAGTTAAAACCTTAGATTACCAAAATAATTATTGGCATGAAATTTCACAGCAAAGGAATTTGATGAGTACTAAGATGACAAATACTGTTAAGATGAATTTTTAAAATTTTTATTATGTTACAAAAAGCAAGAAACAGATTGTGGTAAAGAGTTCTATAAAATTTCAGACATTTGAGTAAATAAAAAGGAATACATTGTCCAATATTTTATACGTTAATAGCTAAAGATTTTTTGTTTCTACATTTTAATCAACCCTTTAGTCTTATGTTCATGCTAAGTATTTACACCATAGAAATTAAAAAACAGTCTAAGCTTTCATTTCCAGATTGATAGCTGCACAGGATTTTAACATAATCCTAACGACGCAGGCTCTTACATAAACACTTTAGAAAATAATAATTTCAGAAATATAAATACGTATTAAAACCAGTTATGACAAAACGAAGAAAAATAGCACCATAAACCCAAACCACTTTAAAATGAATTTTCATCTGAGAGCACATCACTTTCTACTTTTGTTGCTGCAGACTGGTAACACTTGCTGTTTGAAGTATGTCTCAGATTTTTATTTGTAATGATATAGTTCTTTAAGAAAGGCACTTATTGGATCAATTACATATATGTATATATATATATAGAGAGAGAGAGTACAAGTAAGTCTCCGCCTTTTTTTTTTTTTATCAGAAATTGGGCATTTATTATGAAAGAACGATACATTATGTTTTATTCAAAGTATTGGCCATCGCTAGCCCTACATTTTTCCTGTTTTCTGGCAGTATACGGATATCGCGTTTGAAGAATGCTTCATCTTTCAAGGCTATCTGCAAATCAAGCCAATATTTAGTATCTTCACATAATTTGAAATGTTGCTCAGACAGGCCATGCATCATCAATCGACACAAGTAATAATTGGAAGGAGTAAAGTCTGGTGAATACAGCGGGAGGGAGAAACTTCTTATTTGACTGTGTCTGAGTAAGTTTTGACTGATGCCGCAACATGTGGTTGAGTGTTATCATGCAGGAGAATAATTTTGTCATGTCTGGAGTAGTAGTGGGTACATATTTCTTTGAGTGCTCGGCTCAGTCTCATCAATTGCATTCAGCAGAAAGCCTCAGTAATGGTTTTGTTCGGTTTGAGCAAATCCTAATACATGGCAATAAGTTGATCCCATCAAATACACATAATTTTCTTTCCATGAATATTCGATTTGGCTGTTGATGTTGAAGCAAGGCCAGATGGTCCCCATAATTTCATCTTCTTTGGAGTATCGCAGTGGATCCCCAATTTTTTTTATCAGCAGTGACTATACGATACAAAAAAACCCCATTTCGTTTATGCCTGGCAAGCAGCATTTCAAATGTAAAAATTCGGCGTTCAACATTTCTCAGATTGAGTTCATACGGAACCTAATTTCCTTGCTTTTGAATTATTCTTAATGATTTTAAACGATGTGAAATTGCTTGTTGAGTCACTCCTAATAAAAATGCAAGTTCTGCTTGCGTTCAGCACAAACCTTTATCCAATAATGCTTCCTATTTCGCGTCTTCGCACACTTTCATCTTTCTGCTCCGTTCTTTGTCTTCGATGTCAAATTCGTTCTTAAACTCTTGAAACCACTCACGACAATTTAAGGCAGCCTCATCATATGTTTCGACAAGCAATCGATGAGCCTGCAGATTTCTTCAGATTAAAGAAGTAAATTAAAAGTTCCCAGAAATGAAGCTCATTAGGCTAAGAAGTCGGCATTTTTGCTCGATAAAATTATATGATGCTGATATAAAATATATAATAGTTTAAGGTTGTGCTATAAGTTATTTCTCCCATCTTTTTGGCATGCCTTCGAGGTATGGTGGTCTGCACGCTTGGTGCATATTCCAGAGGTCCGCGGTTCGATTCCCGGCGAAGGCGGTTGCTCATTTTTCCTGTTGCCTGCTTCCAAATTACCTAATGTCTCTACAGTGTTGTTAGCAGATGTGCGACCTTACTCTATTGTGTTTTACAACAGACAATTTTAGCCATAACTTAATGGTCGCGCAATTTTTTTTCAAATGGCGGAGACTTATATGTATTCCATGCATATTATATCACTCCACATATTCATTCACTACAAATTTTTATTGCATTGTTATGTTTAGTACATTAAAACTATGCATTATAGTTTCTAAGATCAGATATAAAAATACAATAGAATATTAACACCCAAAATGCTTTTCTTATCATTTTGCAACAAATATCTATGATTAAATTAGCATTTATAATAAACTGTAGTAAGAAGAATAAAAATTTAATGTAAAAATAGTAATGATAATATCCAATTAAACATGAAACAATATTACAAAAAAAATATTTCCCCGAGTTTCTTTCATTACTTGTTTAAATACTTGAATAACAGTTTCTCATACCATAAATTTTAAATGTATAACATTTGGTAAACAATCAAGGGTAGTATTCTAATATTGAAATATTTAACCAGTGCCCATATTATTGATATGCAATAAAGTCAAAATATAATATTACATCTAAGTTTAATCCATCATTCTGATAGGTTTGTTGTTCTAGTTGTAATGTGAACTAAAGCTCCTAAATTTCTTGTATATAATATGTTCTAATATTAATAGTGAAAGAATTAATTAATAGTGTAAAATTAAAAATAGAATGTACCTTCAGGTACTCTGCATTTTCTAAATCAAAATAAATTCATTTAGTTGACAAATCACTGGAAAAATAAGGAATATATAAAGTATTACCAGAAAAGCTCTTTTGCAGCTCTGAAATATCTAACATTTGAAAGGATTTTCCATTATCTTCTAAAACTTCAGGTGTGGAAGGTAATGCATTGACTTGGTATTGTACATCGTGGAAGGGGGCTCTACAAAATCTTGCAATTGCCAGTTTTACCATGAAATGTATGATTGAGTTAAACAAGATTGAGAGTGACAGAATGGGGAAATAACTAGTATGAATATTACTGAAGGCATCAAAATCTTTTAAGTACTTAGAGCCTCTAAAAGTCTTAATCCAACCTGGCATTTGTATCTCATCCAAGATTCAAATACAGTCCAGCAGGATATGAACTTACCACATACCTTTCAGGGCCGCACACTAGAAGATTTGTGCATGATTATTATTTTTATTATTGTTGGATCAAATATGGTCTATGAATTTTATTATGACTATGGCTGTCTCTATCATTGGCTTTGGCCTTTGACAGCTTATAGGAGATAATAAAAATTTGTCCTACTCTATCAAAACTTTGAAGGACAGTCCCTCAGGGTTCAAATCCAAGTGCCTCCCACCCTTCTTTCTCTTCCAAAAACATCTTGAGAAGACGTTTTCTCAACAATATTTTAAGAGTTCCCACGCCACAAGACACTATACAAACAACCATGCATTCTCTGGGATTTGAACTGTGCCAAGGCTTCTAAACCACCGTATTAACAGAATGAAATACATGATTATTTGTCATAACGGAAAACATAATCAACACTCTGAAGATGTTATTTGTGGAAAGAAATAACTTAAGAATTTTTCAATAACTTTAAATTTACCTCACACTTGCATTCCCCATTTGTTTTATTGCAGTTAGCATCATAACCTCTGCTAGTGTCACAATGACAGGGCCCACATATTGGATAGCCCCACCAGTTGGAAGGGCAAGGATGATCCAGAGGCATCTCACAGTATTCTCCAGTGTGCAGAGAATCACATTCACAGCTGTAGCCATACTTATGACTGTTGTGGAAAGAATCTTTTACAGATGGCCTACAAATAGACCCAGTGGCACAAGGATTCATTTCACAAACAGGAAGACACTGCAGACCAAAAAAGCCTGTAGCAAAAAAAAAAAAAAAAAAAAGAGAGAGAGAAAGTTATTTTGGTGACAATATAAGCATTTTATCATTTTAGATTTGTTCTTTAATGTATAAATAAAAAAGAATGTAAAAAGCAACTACCTTTTGAGATTATGCAGGATATTAAAAAAAGAGAGAGAGATATTTCTCAATTAAATTCTTCTTCAGTAGTTGGATAAAACATGGTTTCAGTTTAATGAATTAACCAAATAAAATAGCCCTTGTAGTTATGAACATTCTGATCACATGATACATTTTAATAAGAATATATGGAATTTAAATTTTATATAGGCACTACAGAAAAAAAAGTCATTTAATATGATTCAATAGAAAAATTAATTCTGCCCCCTCCCAAAAAAGTCCAAATAATCAAAATTACTAAAATATCTTAATAAAAAAAATTTAACGGTCATGTAGACAGCCACAGATACAGACAATTACAGATGTTAAAATGTTTACTGCAAACTTTTAAGATTACATTAGTATGACTTTAAATTAGGAAGTGATTTCAAACTAACATTCTTAAATACTAAATCAAGAAATTTTTAATTATGAAATTCAATTTTAAACATATTTTGAATTCTTATTCTTTTCTTGGGTGAAAATAATTTACATCATCTAAAATTTTGCAGCCAGTTTTACATATTATAAACAGGATTTTACTTCTAAAAGATTTCATTAGGATTAAAAACAATTCATTAGTTGGAAGTTTCTTTACAGACTCTCTTATAAAATTAAAATATTCATTTTCTTTATTTTTTTAACCTAAGCCGTAGGTCTATGATTGATTATTCAAGCGATATTTTGCCATGCAGCCTTATTTAAACACTCTGCATATACAAATCTGTCATCAGATAAATACAAAATAATATTCAAGTATGGATGATTTTTTTAATTGTTGTAAGTAATTACAAAAAATTCTTTTCAAAACTATTTAGTCTGCATGAAGACATTTCTTACATGATTTTGTAAACCAAGTTTACTTAAGTTAATTCTTTTAGCTTAGTTGATAAGAGTGCATTAAAACAACACCCTTAATACATTTCAGATGAAATAGCCCATGAACATGGCATAAAAACTGCAATTACTCTGCCAAAGAGGCTTCTGTTAAGTGTATAAATATGACTCTGTTCTCTTCATAATTAAAAATATCTGATGTGGACACCACATAATTTCCTTGAATGCCCTCTAAAATAATGCACACGTTTTCCTGCATTTTACTTAAACTTGTAGAGACATTAGTATTTTTTTCGGGGGGAGGGAAGCAGGCAAGATGAAAAACTAGCAATGCCTTCATCGGCAATCGAAGTGAAGATTTCTCAATTACATGCTGAGCGTGCAGACCACTACACCACAAAGACGGAAGAAATACCTTATAAACTTAATTTCCTCTACTTTCCCTAGAAATATATTTCTCATTCAATTGATTCAGTTCTCACTTCGTGGCAAAGCAAAAATACATAAAAACTCAAAACATATTCATTATACATTGTAAAATACAGAAAAACCAAAAACACCAAATACAGTTAAAAACAATTATAAAATTATTATTATTATTTTGCAATTAAACGGTCAATTAAAATTTGAAAAAGTCTTAAATAAGGCTAAAATTTTAATTCACGGTATTATCAGCAAAACATTTTAGAACCAATTTTTGAAAACGAAATTTCAACCTTACATGGAAATTAAGGCCATCAAGCTGGAACTTTATGTGGACAAGGCCTCTAGTCAGACATGTAACTAGTCACACAACTGCTAATTATTTAGCACAGAAAGGAACAGAAACAGGATAAAATATATCCCCATTTAATGAAAGACCTCTAAAATCACCTGACATTTCTACAGCCAAAAAACAAAGCTATCAGAGTAGAAAAAAATCACTGCATGAAATAGTTTCTATAAAGTGAACGATATACTCTATAGTGCTGAGAAACATTTACTAACACAATAAGTGTCACAAGATTTGCTTCCAATTGTGCTAAAAGTTTTCCGGAGACACAAAAATTTCATGAAATAATTTATAATTACTTTAATATGTCCTGCATAATGTTTTGATGTAACAAGGTTATCACAAATTCTTAAAAAATATCCATTTAATACAGCATCTCAAAAATTATAATGACTTAGATAATTCATGAGTGACTATGTTAGAGTACCATGAAGTAATCTATAATACAGTCAAAAGTCTTTAATCCGGACTCGTAGGGACTTCGGCGATTCCGGATTATAGATCATCAATTTAAATCTGGTAAGATGGCATGCAGAAATTATAAAATTAAAAATATGAAACTTTAATTTATGAAATAAAGAGCAATAATGATATAAAAGGTATCAAAATTTACAAAAAAAAAAAAAAAAAAAAAAAAAAAAAAAAAAGGCTTAATATTTATTTGTTTACTTTATTAAGCATACATTACGCATAGTCGAAATTAGAAAATTGCAACCAGAAAACTATTTGATGTGTATTCGTAATATTTATAATGATGAGGAATTTGATTTAAATCATATCAAAGATGGAGTACATCGAAATCAAATACTACATTTAGTAAGAAATTATAACCTGAATAAAAAAAAAAAAACATCTGCCCTGAAGATAAGGATAGTGCTGACAGATCAACTTCCATTTCATTGCATGCCGTGATGTTTCCCCCGCCCAGCAGAGCAGCGTGAAATTGATAAACAGATTTTGGAATAGTTAGAGAAACAAAGGATATGCCTTTATCCATTTTTTCCAGCAATTCCACTTTTTGTTTGATGGACATCGAAACATGCTTTTGCTTTGCAGATCAACTCCAGAATCTGAAATTCTTTTTGATATAATCGAAATTTTAAGCTTACTTTTAAAAAATTGCTCTAACAGTCTGCAAAAAATAAGCTGGATCCAATTAGAAGATTAAGGAACAACACAATCTGCAACATAACTGCAACTGAAATAGATAATTAGATAATTTTAGCTTAGCTTATACATCCGTTATACATTAAAAGTGCATGCGTAAACGTATTATCTCTTGCGTTAACACACATGCGCATTTGTAAAGATATTGTGCGCATGCGTTAACGCATTATGCATTTACGCATGTGCAGAACGTTTGTAGCTTTGAGGTTCGGATTATGGATGTCTGGATTAAAGACATTTGACTGTATTGCTTGGTTTGTTTCCTTGATTGACACATATTCATGCTTATACTGAATAGTACTGTGTGTGAGAGAGAGAAATGATTTGTTTTGGATTCAACATCTACATTTGTAATATCGATAAATATATTATAACACTCTCAGGTATTCCTATATCCTTATGATTCATACTCTTGAAAAATATTCTCTTGTCTAGCTGGTTTTATTATTAGAGTATAGCGTATAAAGACATGTACAGTCAAACCTTGTTAGATCGCCGAAAAGTCACTCTGCTTACTAGGCAGGATTATTTTGATACTGACAAAAAGTATTTTGTTTCATTTAAATGTGATGCAAATATTTTATTAAATCACTTCTGAAATACTGATGCCAGTTAAAAAAGACATATTCACTAAAAAGGACACAGCTTATTTATTTTGAAAAAATCAGTTTATCAAGCCAATTTTCGATATCCTCATAAAAAATTTAAGCTGTTTCTAGAAAGGCTGCTCTGCCATGAAATAAATGGTCATCTGAAGGAGAAACATCAAGTGAATATGACAGGCAAGACAACAATCCCAGCAAAGTGCTTCTAATTTTTTTGACTGACATACAGGGAAATAATTTCTTCATGTCTTGTAGTATATTTGGAAGAGTTTTCAGTAATACTTCATTCTACTTAATTAACTGCTATTTATAATGTTAAGTCCGGTTTGGCTGCAACAGCTGAAATAGTTTTGATGTTTTTCCAAGCTTTTTGTCATGTGTGTTAAAATAGTTATTTTTAAATCATAAAAACACGTCTTTGTAAGTTGAACTTGATGCAACACATTTATCTCAAATTTCTAACAGCAAATAATACATTTCTACAGCAATTTTCTTCGTAATAAAACAGTCAAGCAAAACATCTTTCAGATAGCATTTTTGTTTGTTTATCTTTTTGTTTTTCATAAAACTATGAAACAAAAATAATTAGTGTTTTAGTTTAAACAATTGTCACATACAGTTGCATATTGATGGTTGCTTTCATATACAGTGTTCCCAGATCCTGTACGTAAGTAGTGTTATTTATGAAAACTATTAGAAAAAAAGATGGAATCATATTTATACATCCAATACTGATTTCAATAGAATTTGTAATTAATAATTTAAAATGCTTGAACCAAAAGAGGAGATAAACTTGAATTTAAATGCTAAAATTTTGCCAATTACAGACTTTTCTATGCATAATTTTAGTTCAGTTCAATCAGTTACATCTTAATTATAAATTAATTGCTTCAACTCATAGCTAATTTTTAATTAAACTGTGCTAAATTTCATATTTAGATGAATCTCACCATATGTACATTTAGAAGTACAATTTCGCTTATGATGGAATGCATTTTTCTGACGTGTTTTACTTTTTAGTTTTCTGCAGTGCAACAATAAAATTATAATATGTTGTGATTTGATACACTTACAAAAAAACTTGCTTTCATATATGATACTTAAGAAATAAATAAACATGCGCAAAGTTTGAATCTTGTAAAATTTCTTGGTCTTAAATTCTTTGAAATAATTGAAGCACTCATAGCACACAAATATTTCAAATTATTAAAATAATGATTTCTCACCCATGTCACACTGGCATTCATAATGATCCCAGAGGTCCACACATGTACTATTCTTCGGACAGGGATTTCCATGGCAAGGATTTTGAACTCTGCATCCTTCTCTGACATTGCTCTCCAGAGATGGTCTCAGCCATGAATCTCTATTCATGTCTATTCTAACATCCTAATTTTGACAAAGAAATACATGCATTATTCAAATATATAAGAAAATATGGAGAAGTTTCTTCAACTCAAGACTTTCATAATAATAATAATATTATACACACACACACACACATATATATATATATAACTTTTTTTAAAGGAACAGGTAACATACTTAAAAAGCAAATGAAATATCACACACTAGTAGAACATTCATATTATGTGATCAAAAGTACATAATATCACACTTGCCATTGCTTGCATAAGATGTTGCTTTGTATTGAGAAAATCATTGCTTCAAAACAGCCTGTGTTGTACAATGGTATTTTGTCACTCTCACTTGAGTGCATTTATCAAGAGATAAGTCTATTTCTACCTAAGTTTCTTCATTTTTATGAAAACATGGTGTTCATATAAAAAGTCTCATAAGCTCATATAGTGTAAAGGAGAAAAAAAAAGTATTATGAATTTATACCTGGAAACATTTTGTATGTTCCCAAGCTTAAAAAAATTAAACAAAGCGTTAAATCTAATACTACACAGCATAAAAGCAAGAAAAATATGCTAAATATCTCTTTTCGCAAATAAATACAAATATTATCTGCATCTGCAAATATAAAAAAATTCATCTACTGCCCATAATTAAATGGAAATAATATGCATAATGGAATTTAATTTTCTAAAATTAAGAAGCAAGAAACACATTGGATAGTTTACTCGTGAAAAATGTGACACTGATGCATATATTTAAGTCAGCGAAGACTATAATTTCTGTTGAGTTACTACATTTTCAGTGGCCTTATCTTCCTGCCCATCATTGCATACTCGATTTTGTTGCCTGCTCTGGCTGATAAAAAAGGTTTGAAATACAAAAGTATACTTGACTGTACAAACCGAAACATTTCTTGCTACAAAATTTTCATATACAGTTAGACACCCCGTATTCTTACTTGCAAGCTCTTTCACAATTATTCACGCTTTTCTTCCAAGCACTGCATAAAACAATACTAAATGATAGTTTAATAAAAAATTAAAATCCTCATTCAATTTCTGTTGAAAATAGAAGTAGATACTAACTCAGCTCTTTAATAAACATTATAATGACATTACGTTAACTTTTGTAAAATGAAGAGACCTGCGTGTGTTTTAAACAACATGCTAGACTGCAAAGATTCACATAAGCAATCAGATTAATCCAAGGATGGTGAACCTTTTTCGATTAGTGTGCCATTTAAATTATGGTTTATTTCTTTCGGATGTATAGTGTACTACTTAGCATATTTCTTTTTTAAAATCATCTTTAAAGCTCTGCTTTGATTTCAAACTATTGAATCATATTTTGTAACTATATCTGCTGTTTAGTTATTAGCTTATATCATATGTAAACTGAATAAACAGTATTTTTAAACTATTTCAGTTTAATATTAAGATAATGCAAAGTGTCTTAAAGCAGACACCCCTTATTGTAAGTGAAAAAATAAAAGAAAGGCATTTAATGTTAGATTTTTTAATTTTTTATAGCATGAAAAATTAGATGTAGCAATACAATTCAAAATATATTATTAATTGCCTTTACTTTTTACTTAAAAACATTGTGTCTTCTTTAAGATGCTTCACTTAATTTACTTTTCAAAATACAGTCATTTAATATTTTAATGAAATACTACGATATTACATACATTTAATCCCATTTAGTATGACACCTGTTGCTGATCTTATTAGCCATGTCATTTACATTTGGGTCGTAACTTGTCTTTAATAACATACAAGATTCACTGAAATCTGAATCGAGGTGATTTCTTATAGTTGAGTTCATTGGAAGCATATTTGGCATGTTTTTGGAAGCTAATTTGGCAGGTTCATGTTCAGAACCACAGGAAAGAAAGGAGAAAAAAATAATAATATGCAGATCACAAATCATGGCTTACACATATAAATTAAAATTCATTAACTTGAATGAGCATGAAAATTGTCTATAGCTCAGAAATATGGTACCAGATCTGTACTTGCAAGCAGTTATTTTTGTGTGATTTTTTTGCATTGGTGCCAAGGAGTGAAGGGTAAAGAAACACTAACCCCCTTTGGAACATTCTGGATTTGACACACCCTCTTCTTAGCAGGATTGTTCAACCCAGTATATAAATAACTTATTCCTTTTTTTCCTTCATTGCATCACTTATTTGTGTAAGCATAAAAAAAAAAAAAAAAAAAAAAAAAGAGAGAAATTTGAAGCAACCAATTTCACCACCTTAAATCTCCACATTAAAATCGTAGCCATGATTAGATATTAAGTGTAGTTATAAACAGGGGCTTATTCTCCACACCCCTTTCTATAAAGAACCAGAAGTTCCAAACTCTTAAACTCTTTCTCACATTGAGACAAAGTAGAGAATCTATGTAAAAATGTTTAATTTTGAAAACTATTCTTTGTCCCCTTGGCATTGTGTATTTTAATATAAAAGTTTTATGTGGCATTTATTTAAAAATTCAGTTTAGTATGGTATAGAAGCCTTTTATCTTGTTATATTTAGGAAATCAAACTATCTGAATCAATAAAGAAGACATAGGTGCTATAATTCGTAAAACAGGCCTTCATAGGTACTCTCATTTGCAAAAAATCCTTCCGCTCTCTCTCGAAACATCCTTCATATTCAAATATGAGAAACCAAAGCTGAAACTGTCATAATTTGCAATTTAGTTTGGGTTCTCTCTTTATAACTCATCCCGTTCATGTACTTCCCTAAGAAAAAGGTCAGTCTTTCCTACAGGGACTTCTGTGGCGAGGGGTGTGCACTAGTCATCCTTCCATCCTGGAAAATGTCATAATGATACTCATGCTTGTGCTCACTTCTGAATCTGCCTTCAATGGTCACTAGTCTTGGAGGTTTTTTTTTTTTTTTTTTTTTTTTTTAAATTTTTTGAAATGCTGTTTTCAGTGAATATAAGTGAATAAAAATAATTTAATACGAACATGGGCATGCAACCAAAATACCTGTTGCATGCCATAGGTTTGCCATTCCTGGATTAATCCTTTTACGACAAAAAGTCCAAACATGCACATACTACTGGAGCTGGCTGTTTCTTTCACAAGTGCCTTTCCAGGACTGGAGAGCTTTTTGCTTCTACATTCCTTTCCATCTCCTAATTACAGTTCCACAACTATAGATTCTAAGTTTAAAGAGTTCATTCGCTGGTAATGCAGACATGAAAGAATGATATATATGTAAACGGTATAACAAAAAAGTTCTTAAAATAGAGATTTAACGACTCTCTTACCATATAATCCTGAATTTTTTTTAGTTAAAGTTACAGATATAACTTGATTTAGATTCACATAATTTGCTAAAAATTTTTGACGATTTCATATTTTAATTCTATAAAAATTACAGAAATATTTCACAAGTTATAATTCTTGATTGGTAAAATAAACTATAAACACAAACACCCAATACTGTAGGGGGGGGAACATAGCATTCACCGATAAATACCATGTGTGCAATATTAATGAAATATGCTTGGGGGGAATCTCCCATAAGATTCATCAATAAATACTATATGTACATTCAAAGAGCTATCAGAAAGCTTGAGAGTCCAAAAACACACTTATCCTCTTATGTTTATACAATCAAAAACCAAATGCATGTGACTCATCTATGTCTCATTCTAAATACATTCTAAATACCAGTAGAAGGTTAAATCTATATATCTTATGGATATATAATGCTATCATGTGCAAAAAAACGTTTCTAAAATGTTCCAAAACTCTGACACATATGTCTGACAAGCAAGGATGAATGAGAAAGTGCTGTAGTGGCCCAATTATTGCTGCTCGTAGTGTCGCATTTCAATAGCTGGAAAATAAAAAGCAATAAACTTAGCTATTTGTTTATTATTCATGCTGTGCCTAATCATAAATTAATTTTAAACATTAGTAGCCTAGGCCACAGTGCTCTGTCATGTCAGTGTGCCAGCTGGGAAATGAATGCTTTTCATTCTGGCATTCTGCATGACAATCAGCACTAAAGGGTTAAACTATAACTGATATATGGTTATTTCAGTATTATCGAGCTCTTATTAGGCTAACATTCTCTAATTATTTTATCAGATAAAACTTTTAATATGCACATGATATGCTTTATTGGTTTTAAAATATTTATTGGTCTACTCAGAGAACTATGAAAACAAATAAATAAAAATTAATTCTTACTATCACTTTTAAAAAGCAAATTATATCTACAGAGATATATATAAAAACTAGGCAAAGATATATATAAAAACTAGGCAAAGATATATATATATATAAACTAGGCAAAGATGATTTTAAACAAAACCAATATTTAGTTATGTTAAATATTGTCAATTTACAGTTTGTAATAAAGCATTTTCTATTGCCAGACTTATACACAGAATCTAAGATACAGCTCTCCCACTTTTATTACAAATTATCAATTCTGCAAAATAAGCTTGCTTAGCAACCAAGAAATAAAAAAGGTTATGCTTCAAAAAGTAACATATTTTTCTTTTTAACAAACATTCACTTCTTAAGTATACATGTACAGAACAAGAAAGATAAATAAATTTTTTCAAAGCCCCCTTTCCTCCTTTTCTCAGTTCAATATGTGTAACTGTTATTAATTATAATACTTTCCAGCAGAAACTTATGTGTTTATACACTGAAGTTGCTCAAATAAATGAACCGGTTAGTAAGATTGAAAAAAAAAGGGGTAAGAAGAATATCATTATTTATTATAGCTTCATTGTTTACCATTTGCAGAAATAAACACACAGCATTCTACTTTTGACACCATTAGGAAATTAAAAGTTAACTTAAAACAGACAATATGTGTCATGCATATGAACATCTTCTGCAGACTGAAATTTGGATTAACTTATAACTTTCTATTGTTTGTTCCATTTTAATCTGACTTATTTTCATAAATGAGCTTCTTGTTTCATTTTTGTGTGGTTCAAAACAAACATTTTGTTTTATAACTATATACACATACTGTGGATTCTTACATTGCATTCTTACATACATATGTGTAATATTTTGGCAAGCAGGCACAGAAATGACAATCTTACTAACTCAGGGAATGGTTGTGGCTGAGCAGAAGGCTGCAAAATGACAACAATGAAGGTTTTTAGCTTTTTAGATTCCACATCTTTATCACAGCAGATCATTTTTCCTTTAGATGAAATTCTCCAAATTACATAGTCAATAGCAGTTTAAACTAAGTAAGATTAAATTTAGACTTTCTACGTAATAACTGTTCTAACATATATATACATTGTGTGTGTATGTATACATATATTGTGGCTTCTTTTTCTTAAAAATGATATGCAGATATTTTGATATCATACTCCATTTGTCTTCTTTCTAGTTACTCATGAACATCTGATATCATCTACAACAATTCAAACACTTAATGCATAACTATCATATATTTGGTACATGCAAGAAAGTGTATGAGCAACACAGTATTTAGTAACTATACATATTTTTTTAAAACATTCTCAGTGCATGTACACATATCAATTTATGAAGGATCTTCAGGAAAAAGTTGCATTTCTGATAGAATTTTTATGGTGGAAATATGATGGTTAAAACTTTGGGAAAAAAATCTTGAGATACATGATTGCAGTAAAAACACTGTTTATATTTATATGAATATGATTTCACTCAATGATAATTCCATATTAAAAATATAGCAAACCTGTATGCATCCATTAAAAAATGCCAAATTTTCAGGTCCTTCTGATGGCTGCACTCCTCCGATGGATACTTTGCCCACATAGAGTCCCCGAATGTGCCCCTCTAATTGTTTCACAGCCTATAAGCGATCAAAAATATCATTTCACTCTTAAATATTTACAAAATCAAATGATTCTGTCCTAAGCTGCGCAATACATGGTATTAAAATGTTCTTTTATTAACTACAATAATGCTGTAAACAGTCATGATTGTCTATTGAACAGAATGCAAATTAAAAATACATTTCAAATAATATAAATTAGAGATATTATAAAAAAAATAATAATGTAAATATTAAAAACTGCACTTATTGCTTTTCAACTGCACAGTTTGTAAAATAATTGTAATTTGAGAGATGAATTAAAGATCTTACATTAAAAAATAACAGCCTAGCAATTGGCTATTTACCAGACTGCAAGATAAATAAATGAAAGATCTTATGTTTTCTGCAATGGCAATGCTTATAAAGTTACATGAATGATAAATGCATGATAGCATAATGTAATAGTACAAACATTTTGGAAGACTCAATTCAAAATATTTTAACCATCAATAATAAGAAAGAAAACCAGAATAAATGTCCCCCCCCCAACTAGCTACTGTTTTTTTAAACATAAGCTACAGACACCACTGCATACTGCAGTGCCCATTTTCATATCATAATGCAAGTTATACATATACAGTTAGTATTAGATTAAAGCCAACTGGAAAATAAAGAATTAAAGTTATGCAATACTGACTTCCTGCATGATAATGCAACATATACAGTATCAGTTTCAGAGCATATGCTTTTCCAGCAATCTATTCCTTACCAATGTCCAATGGACAAAGTGCTTTATTCATTGGAATATAGAATACATATCACGAATGAGGCAAACACGCCACAAAACCACCGAAGATTGAAACAGGTAACAAAACCAAAATTCTACTGCACCAGCCTAGTGCAGTATAAATATATAGTGGCAATAAAATTCATTATGGGTACTCTGTGTATGATGACAACTGTCTAGGTTGATGACAGCAGTTGTAGAATCTGCCGAATAAACCTCCTGGTATAGAATAGGACATTTAATACCTCTTGACTGATAAGAGATGGGAATATATTGAGAGATAATAGACTACAGACATCTCTTTTTTTACACTGCTTTTCAGATAGATGTGTATTTAGAGAAATGTAATACAAGGTACTGTAGAGGTTATAATAAGTTAGAATGGTTACAGGAATATTCTGACTACAGGAAACATTTAGAAGATGCCCAAACTTTCCACGATTCAGCATTTAAAAGATATTAAAGCAGGACCTGCCTAAAACAGCAGGACTTTATACTAATCTCTTTCTTTATAATGAATTGCCTAGTAAGAGACATGAGCACCAATCTCGGTGCTGGTCATTATAGAAGTAGATCTACCAAATATTAAATACAATAGTTAAAATTCAGTGAAAACTTGGTGTAATTATGGAAATCAATGGAATAATAAATAAGATAATTAATATAATCATGGAATATGTTGAGGGATAAATTTTATTTAATTGTTTGGCAGCAGCCAAATAATTGAAATGGTAGCAGTAAAAAAACTGTTCTAGTATTTTCTCCTGTTAAGCAAAGCATTTTACTTCTGTATTATGGGATGTAGTACTATGTGGCTGCATAAATAAAATACATAAAAACTAAATATGCCATATGTGTAACAAAATTTTTCAACATAATAATCAATATTTAGAAAATCATTTATAACATCAGCAAGTTTTCAGTTTGATAATAAGCTTTCGTATACTGAAATCAGTATTTATTTTCTAAAATACTGTATGGAAAATTAAAAAAAAAAAATCTTTAATAATTACATAATGGCTATATATTCCCTAAACTTTTCAATCTATATACATATAATTTTAGTTACATGGCAATAGTTTATGGTATAGATACCATGTATGGTATATATACCTATACACTATGGTACCTATATACTTATGGTACCTATATACTTACGGTACCTATACCTACAGTATACATGAAGATATATTTAGACTTAAAAAAACATTTTTTGCTCATTAGAAATTAACTTAAACATGGTTTGCCATTTACTTCTAAATATAAACCAATATGTCAGAAATTTCTTTTATGTATTTTGGCATGATATAAACTTTACAACAAGTACCTCATACTGTCCATAGTCCAGATTAAGCCAAATGCCTGCAGACATCCATTTAGCCTCCACATTATGCCAAACTCCATCATTAACTGCAATGTCTTTGAGTACAAAGGACTGATCATTAAAACTGTACTTAAGGAAGCCACCAGAAATCTGTAATGCAATGTTGTATTTGATTACTTCTTGTTTTCAGAGTTTTCTAGTTGGATATATTAATTAAATGTATAAGCAACAGAGTTGAAAATTATCACATAAAATACAGCATTGGCATATCAAATGCTATAAATAAAGCATTACTTGTCTTCTGCCTTGGTGAGAAAGTGGATTTGGAACATTTCTGCAATAGGGAGAAACAAATAGTTATTGATCTGCACATGTTCAAGAAACATGTGCATGAGTGATAAACAAACGGGTAATGATCTAACTGGTTTTTCTTAATTGTGTTGTGCCCATATAGTGGTTTTCATTGTAAGCTTACTTTTTTCAATCTTCCATCAGCCAAAAAGAAGATTTAGTTGATGTCGAGGTATTATTAGCAACCACTGTCAAACCGTGACTACTAGAAGAAGTCTGTAAAATATGAACTTTCCAGTATGGTTAATAATAAATTGAATTTTTTGGCATGTTTATGTATGTTGTTATTTAAAATAAACTACTTACATAATTGCATTAAATACAATACAATAATTAATATATATATATTAAATAAGTTCGGTTGAACTATGCTACATTTTAAATACATTGTTTACAAAATTGTATTAACTATTATTATGATTAAAATTCATAATAAACTTCTATGTATATCTATTAAATAACTTATGCTGTATAGATACTGAATAAATTACCAATTTATTGTTTATTGTAATTAGTTTTGTTTTTGTTTATTACATTTGGCCAAAAATCATACCTTATTAAGCATGAATTTGCATCAATGCCATTTTCTCTCACAAAGGCAGTTACAGAAGACAAGTACCAATAAATTAATATTGTAACAAATTTAAAAGCTTTATTATAAATCAAATCACAGGTTTATTCATTGCACTTCAGATTTTTTTTATATTTTAATTTTAAATTTTTTTATATAGATACATAGTTTCAAGATTTTTCAGCACTTTAAAAATCTATTAAATAATAAATATGATATAGATGCACTAATTATAAAATCTGCATGCAAGAAACAATATAAATAAAATATTTTATTTTCTAGACCAGTGTTTTTCAACAGATATGCTGCAGCATAATGATGTTATCGTGAAAAACTTAATCACAAAGTCCTGATTACACAGTAATATTACCAGAAGGCTATGCTAAAAGAGATTAATGAATATTTTCATACAAGCAAAATTTTATGAGAAAACTATGCAAGTTTAGGTACTAAAGCCATGGTTGCAATGATTTGATTTTAAAAATTCGGTCTGGAAATCTTGGTGTTCAAATGTTACACTGCTTTACTCATACAGAAATTCTCATATCAAATAGTTTACTTTAGGTTTAAAATTTGCATTTAATGATGCTATAAAAATGCTAAATGTGAACAATATTAACCCTCTGAGTGGCACAGGTTTTTGGATCTGCTCATGAATATCTGCATTGAAACAACATGTAATAGCTAAATTTGTGTAAGTACTTACATTAGTTTCTGTTTTCATAAACTTCCATTCATTCATTGAAGAAAGTAAGAAATCAAAATATTTTAAATTATAAACTAAATACACAAAGAGACAAATAAAAAAAAACCTCATGATTGGATAAAGGCAGTCATGCAACTCAGAGTTGAACCACTTCTATCGTGTCTTTTTTAAATTTTATACGATGAAATCAGATTACAACATCACTGTTTGTTGTTCCATACTGAAATTTGTTCACTGTTGAGTGGGAGTATTCTATTCAGAATTCATGACACAAAAGAAAAATTACTATTTTTTGCTTAATATTCTTCTAAGTTGACAGACAGTTAATGGTTGCAAAAAATGGGTTATTCTTAGTTGACATATTTGAATGCCTAAGTTAATTCAATCAAAAAATGGCAGAACCACATGAAAACATATTATCTTACACTAACAAAACTAATGGTTTCAAAAACAAAATTCTTCTTTGGATAGATAAGGTGAAAATGGTTACTTTGAAATGTTTAGTCAGTGCTGTAGTTTAAATCCTAAAACTCAAGTACTAGAACTTTATCAATAGTTATGCACACTAAAGATGAAACTTCATCATTGGCTTGAATTAATGAAAGCAAAGCAATTCATTTAGGTTCAAAATCTGTTTGTATCTACAATAGATCACATGGGATTCAATTTATGAGAACAAAGAGGATGAATTGAGAATTTAAAAGTAACCATAACAGTTAATGTTGAATTTAAGCATGTTGCTTTATCTCAGTTCTGAATAAATGAAAAAATTGAGTTTCCATCTATCAATAAAAATGCTATAAATATTCCTTTACAACTTTCTAACATACAAATATGTGAATAAAGTTTTTGTTCTACATTCGTTCTTGAGAATTAAAAACATGAACATCATTGAAAAATACTGATAAAGAATTGCATAAAGCTCTTTTGACCTTAGGTCCAGATTTTAAAATGTTGTTCTCACTAAAACAAGACTAAGTATCTCACTGATACAAAGATAACATACAATAATTGTAGCCAAAGTAAATTACGTGCACTTACATCAATATTTAAAATGCTTATTTTGTTCATTCGCATTTATGCATAAAGAATTGCATAAAGCTCTTTTGACCTTAGGCCCAGATTTTAAAATGTTGTTCTCACTGAAACAAGACTAAGTATCTCATTGATACGAAGAGAACATATAATAATTGTAGCAAAAGAAAATTATATGCACTTAAATCAATATTTAAAATGTTTATTTTGTTGTTAAATTAGTCTTCTTATTCGCATTTATGCACAGTCAGTAATTTTTTTGTACATAATTAATTTTACTTCTGTATTTTGACATCATAATTTTATAAAAAGATATTCTAAAATTTTTATCACAGTTTCACTCAGTCAAATCTGATACTCTAACTCATAGATCCAAAATCAGTCACAAAGGATCATGAATTAAGATATATTTATCCCCATTTTTATGGTTTATTTCTTACTTTTGACTAAGAAGATTTATCTGAAATGAATGTCTGGAATGTGAATATGATGCAAAAATATTTGAAAGAAAGTTATTATTAACTTTTTTCCTGAGGGCTGGGATAAAAATGCCCCTTCTCTTCACTATGTAAAATAAAGCTCAAGGATTTAACTAGGAAAATCTAAAATTTGGTACACAAGAGCAGGAAACAGCAGACTTTGTCGTCACTTCTTTTTTCTTTTCTTCTTTTTCTTTGGTTCTCTGCTGATTGAGAAGTTGACTTCAATACAAAAAATTAGTCTCTACAGCCCATGTGAAATGGTTAACTGAATGAGTAGCATGAAATAAAAGAAAGTAATCATTTCAATAGAAAAGTGTTTTTCCACAGTGTGTCCTAACATTATTTATACTTGTGAGTTGTACCATGAAATTATTTATACTTGGAGGTATGCTGTGATATGAAAAAAATGGAAACTATTACTCTAGGCATTAAAAATTATCCTCTTCTCAACAGTTCAGCATTCCAACATTTTGATCAAACTGTATAACTGTTTATAATACAATAAAGTTTTATTGGATTAAAAAGAGTAAACGAGTTTGAAAAAGATCAGTTTAACACTCAAGATATAAAAATAAAAACAGTTATGATATTACTATTTGAGTTTAGAGATTTTATTGCCAAAGAAATAATATATATTTCATCGGGTAATAACTTTTCATTGGGGGTGGGGTTGATATCTTTTCTGGGAAGGAAACTAAATAGAAAAATTTCACTTGGAAAAAAAAATTGGAGGCTAAATAAACTAGTTGTAAAGCTTAGAGATTTGACTTCATGCATTACAGGTATTTTATATGAAAACATTTATGTCGCTTTGAATAAAAAATTGAAAAGAAATGCAGAAGTTGAACTGTAGTCCAGAATTTCAATTATCGCCTAAACTTTAGAATATTAGCAAAATGAAAATTTTTTAATAGTACGAGCATATAAAGCCTTGCCTATTTTCTAACAAAATATTTATTCATAAATTACTGTCAAAAATCCATATATTTGATTTAAAAAAATTTTTCAATGTGCTAAACTGCTTTTATCTGATAAACAGCCATATTATAATACTTTGCAGATATATATTTCAGAAATGCAACTAATAACTTTGTATAAATTAAATATTTGGTTAATTAATGTAATTTTAAAAAAGCCAGAAAATGCCTAGAAGGATGAAAAGATGCTTACTTTTCCCTGAATCTTTTAATATGACCTTTAAAATACAAGCCTTTAAAATCTAACCTCAACTAATAGTACTTCTCATTTGCTTAGAATAAAAAGCATCAACTGAATGTCAGAAATAGCAAATTTCATTAAATTAATTTATAAAATTTTTGGCATGTTTTGCAGTTTACAGAGAAATATATCTACTTGATTTTCTGTTCTCTGTTGAAAATACTTAGGTTTGTAACTAAAATAAAATAATTTATATCCAGTATAATTATATAACTAGGTTAAACCAAATATAATTTAATAAACCTATTTATATAATTAAATTAAAACTCAGTGGCGTAACAGCCCTAATGGCCCAAGGCCTGCAGTGCCCGAAATCTGTTTTCTTGACCAGGGGCGCCGGGGTGCATAAGCATATGCGCTGAACAAGTGGCCAGCTTGAGTTGCAAGCCCCCCCCCCCCCCCCCCCCCCCCCGTGTTTAGTCTCCAAGAGAACTTGGCACTCATTTTATCCACCCAAGTGATGGAAGTCAAGGGATGAAAAGTTGAGTTGACCTTGCCCAGCCCGGGAATTTTTATAATTAAATATAAAATTCTATAATTAGGTTTGTTGAGTTTACCACAATTGACATTTTTTAGCCCTAGGAAAAGTGGTGTTTATTTGCAAAAGATGAGAAATACAGATATTAATGCATATTATTGTTAAAACATATTTACCTCTAGAGAAACATAACTAGTTTGCCCCAGCTGAGCCCTTAATAAAAGACCATCTTTCTGGCGTGTTCTGAAAGATAAACTAACAGGCCATTCTTGTTGAATCGGACGAGAATGAGGTGTGAATGTCAGAAAACCATCTCCGAAGAAATGACGAACTGGTTCCACATCTAAAAAATATGTTTCTTATAGACCACTTGAAGTCTTCTATACTTTCCAAATAAAATATAAAAATAAAATGCAAGAGAAATAACAGAAACATTCATACCTCTGGCAAGCTGCTTCCACAAATCTGAGCATAAATATGAAAATATGCAAAATCTGATATAAGCAAAGCTTCAGGCTTAGTAATCTCAATTATAAACAAATAATTTTGATAGTGACAGCATGTTACATTTAATGAAAATAATTCATAGCTTAAATATGCACTTGAAAAACAGCCAAAAATAAAAATGTACTTTCAATTTCACAAAAGGGAGGAAAAAGGTTAAGAGGCTAAAAAATAAATCTTGTAGAAAATAACTACTGAAGTTACAAAGCTATTCTTCATTAAACTCACATTAAGTATCTTAGCCAAACTTTCAATTCATTCCCATCATATATTTCCATTCAATTAAAACTTGAAATTAAAATTTATACATATAATTTATTTTGTGTGCAACATAAAAATTATAAAAAGTAGAATTGAAATTACATAATAGTTTGAATATAATTAAATAATCTGGATGCTGATATACACTCTTTGGGGGGGGGAATCACCAAAAGAAAGTGACTGTTTTTATTGAAACTAACTATGCACAAAGCTTGCAATTAAATGATTAAAAATTCAAAACTCATCAGTGGCTAACAACTGCACACTGAATGTTCAAATCAGAAATTGGCGAAATCCCCCCCCCCACAAGCTGTGATGCATGCTTGCAAACGTTGAGGTAAGAGGTGATAAAAATTCCAAATCTCATCCTGCAATATATTTTCCCATGCATTCCTCAATTATTGCTTGAGATCTGCAGCATTTTGAAGAGCTCGAAACTCATGGCCTACCATATTCCATACATATTCGACTGGCCCTTACTGGTCTGGTGGTTAATTTGGTGCCCTTGCTTGCAAAACAAAAGTATCAACAGCTTGGAGACAGTCCAGAGCTATGTCAGCCATATGGAATCTAATATTATTCTGTTGGAAAATGGATCCAGGATGGCATGCCATGAAGGGTAACGCAAATGGCTGCAAGATGTCATCAAAATATCATTCAGCTCGTTTATGCAAAATTATTTACAGACTCATTTTTAGTTGACTTTCATTAAAGCATGATTATTTAATATTTGCACCAAAATAAATTCTACATTTAAAATTCAAGCACAAAAGAGCAAATTTACTAAGGAAAATATAATTATCTGATTATGTTTTAGAATATTTTAGAAAACTTACATATTATCTCATTGACAGCGAAAGTTGGCTCAAAGTTGTCCTTTTTGAAATTCTTACAATAAAACATTTGTTAGTGTCTATATAATCCACCAAATAACCACTAGTGCAGAAGTATTCTATTTGCTTTATGTTTGTACTCTGCAAAAAAGGATTTCATTGATTTTTCTTATTTTGTGAGGCCTTCTAATTTTACCCAAAACTCTATTTAGAATGCCATGAGTGCAAACTTCTATCAGGTAAATTATTTTAATTTATTATTGTTTTGTGGAACCAGCTGTAAATGAATGGGAGCGTGGTCAGAAATGCGATTCCACAACCTTAGAACTTCTATGTTTTCAAGATATACGAAAACAGAGTAATAACAGTTAATATTCTTCACCATAAAAATAAAAGAAGGCTTATTGACAATCAGTTGGGGTTACACCATATGAAAGTGCAGATAAGGATGTTTTCACATCACACTTATGAACTGAAAGCACTACCTGGACTACCTGGCAGCAGTTTCCATGGTGCACAAAATACTACATAAGCACCATTTTGAAAACATTATTTCAACTTTTGATCACACCATTACTTGTTACCTGGCAAGGAATTCACAGCTCAACTACACTAATTGTTAAAATTTAATGTTAATTATATGCAGACATGATGATTTTAATTAATTATGACTGAAATATAATTAAAATACATATACAATATAATTATAATGCATATAGATACATACTTAATCTATATGCATTATAATGATATAATTATATAATGATTAAAATAATTATTTATTTAAATAACTAATAAATAATTTTTACTACTTACTGGTACTGCAATCTTTGTCTCCAAAACCAACTGGACACTGGCAAACAAAAGAGCCCCAGCCTTCTTGACATGTACCACCATTTTGACAGGGTTGAGAATGGCAGAAACCTTTTTTCTCAGGACAACCAACCAATGTTCCATTGTCTGCTACAAATCTAGATATTCATAAATATATTACCGGCATTAAAAAGGCCTTTTTTTTTACTTAAATACTATTTACATGCATACACAAATTGCAAAAATATTTGTAAAGTTTAGGACAGATTTCATGAAAATTAATATTTGAAGAAAGCTATTTTACTCCTGCTTTACTTTTTATACTTCATATTTTTAAAACTATACATATGGTGGCAAGCCCATAGAATTGCTGGATGTTGTCACAGAATTAAGCTTTTGGAAGACATTTTATATCATCATTACATTGGACTTCTGAAATGCTTACAAAATAGTGCATTTTAATGTCATATTTCAATTAAAACAAAAAGGAGCAGCAATTGTAAAGAAATAAAAACTGAATTGAATATCTAGTAAAAACATAGCTCTACAGCATTTCTGTGCGTACTGCATAATAATCTGTGCGTACTGCATTTAAAATAGAATGGAATAATAGATACAAAACAAAGAAGAAACAAATACATACGTGTTGAGGTCAACCATTTGATGATCAATGTACAAGTCCATAATACAACCAACAAAATCTTTGTTGCTGATTTGGAAAGCAGATGGCAAGGCTGGAAGCCCTCCAATTTGTAATGGTCCGGTTAGATCTAAAAACCGATAGCATGTCTGCATCAAATCTGCACACCTAGAAAGGAAGAGCAAAAAATTAAATTCATATCAGCATAAGAAAAGTATATTACAAAATAGAACTGAGATGTTTGATCATATCCAATATATAAAAAGATATAAAAATGTACTAAGAGATGTAAAATGCTGTAATTAATAGGATGAATGTACAGAAACTATAATAGTATTGTAAATGTACAAAGCATACATTTTTAATAATACTATTACTATGGACAAAGACTAAAAAAGTGCCACACATTTTTAATAATAATTTTACAGTGGTAGAAGATAAAATGTTCCATAGTAGTATTTTGAATTAGCAAAATAGGAAAACAAAATTTGCTAAAAATGATAGGATTTTTTTATCTTATTTTACTCTGTTCAAATTAATAAATTATAAGAAAGTATATCAATTATCTCCTGCTTCTGTCATGAGTATCTTTCAGCGAGTATTCTCAAAGCAAAGGCAGTTAGCTGCATAACAGACATAAAATAAAGATTAATAAGAACACCATGTACATCTATGGCAGACATTGATTTAGTTGCATCCATTTTGTATTTTTTAAGAATATTCACCTTATGTTCAAAGCAGGAACTTTACAATTACAGCTTGCCATGCAGACAAATTCCTGACACAGAAGCAAAGTATTGAGAATTTGGTCATAGTGTATGTAAGAGTTTTACATATTCTGTGACAATAATATGAGCATATTCTGTGAGTGGAAAATATGTCCAAGGAAGATAATTTTGTTACCTACATGTCTTATTTATGTCCAGTGAGAACACAATCATTTTATTTAAGATATGTATGGCTATAACACAAAGACTAAATAACCTCTCTGAGGCAATATCTTATGTCTTGCATATAACTTGAAGAATACAAAACAACTCTTTGCTGAACCAAGGTTAGAAAACGTTTATACTTAGATTAAACAATAAGAATCAAAATCTTTTAAAAGAAGAATCAATTAAATTAAGTTAATCAATTAAGTTAAAAGAAGAAATAATTAAGAATTCCATGCAATATCTTTTAAAAGAAGAATCAATTGTAAAATCACAAGTTCACATGAGCCACCATTTCCTCTTTCTCTAAAGAGTGAATATTTTAAAACTCCATCATAGCATCAACTTTGAGTAGAATTCTGGGTATTTTTCTTTCATAGCGTCCCATACCCTTGCTAAGTTTCTGGCATGTTATTTACCCACTCTGTCCCAGCTAATTTCCATGCAATAATAATAATATGATCAGTATACAGTCAAAAGTCTTTAATCCGGACTCGTCGGGACATCGGTGATTCCGGATTATCGATTTTTCCGGATTATAGATCATCAGTTTAAATCTGGTAAGATGGCATGCAGAAATTATAAAATTAATATGAACCGTAATTTATGAAATAAAGAACAATTATGATCTAAAGGGTATCAAATTTGCAAAAAAAAAAAGCTTAATATTTATTGTTTACTTTATTAAACATTTCTTTCAATGTAAGTTGTTTAAGTTTTGCTTCGTTTCATGTGATAATACTTTCTCTTTAATTCTATTAAACAGACATAATTTCTTGTTCAGTTACCGTTCCGAAAGTTCCGCTGTTCAAGTCCTATAATTGCTGTGTCAAGAACACCGACTAATTTGTCAATCGAAATTTTTTCGTTTTCAATAACCTCTGTCACTTTTCTTCGCTATCGGAAGCGAATTATAATGACGAGGAACTTGTTTTAAATCAGCATATCGAGATGAAATACTACATTTGGTAAGGAATTATAAGCCAAATAAAATAAAACATCTGGCTGAAGATAAGGATAGTGCTGCAGATCAACTTCCAATTCATTATGCGCTCGCGGCGCATTCCCCCCGCCGAGCAGCGTGAAATTGATACACAGATTTCGGATTTCAAAACATACTTTCGCTTTAGATCCTTTACATATTAACAAATATATATTGGAAATTCTATTTGATATAATCGAAAGTTTGAGCTTACTTTTATAAAATTGCTCTTACAGTCTGCAAAAAATAATAAGCCGGATCCAATTCGAAAATTAAGGAACATTGCAATCATTAACATTAACTGAAATAGATAATTAGATAATTTTAGCTTATACGTCCATTATACATAAAACACTCACGCGAAAACGTATTCTGCACTTGCGCGCACTCATATGCGCAGTCGTAAAAGGTCTTACGCGCACGCGTAAACGCCTGTGCGCATGTGTCAACGCGGCGCATGCGCAGAAAGTTTTTAGTTTTGAGGTCCGGATTATAGATCATTCCGAATTATGGGTGTCCGAATTAACGACTTTTGACTGTATATATATATATATATATATATCTACATATAATAAAAGAAAGAGTCTGTGTGTCTTTCATTTGTGCTGCAGGTAAGCTAATAGACTCAGGGCTACAAAATTTGGTATATAGGTGCATCAAGACAAGAGCCAGTGCACCTTTTTTTTTTTTTTTTTTTTTTTTTTATTGAAAATTTTAAATCTTTGTGCACCACATAGTATTACACAAGGCTTACAGAGGTAAGTAAAAAAAAAAAAAAAAAAAATCAACACAACACAAAATAAAATAAACTTACAAATTCACAGATGATACGTAAGAGATAAATTTACAGAAAAAAGAGAAAGCCATTTTATGTTGAACAAAAACATGAAGAGGGGGAGGAAATGAAATATTCACAGAGTTTAACTTAGAAATGAGTTCCTTTCGTCCTTCCTTGAACTTTGAGCAAATGTTCGACATTTTGCACTCCCCCAAAACTGCATGGACACAAGTCTGTACTAGATAATCTAAATCTCTTCAGATATGAATTGAATTTACCATGTCCAGTTAGAAATTGAGTAACTTCAAAATTGCAGAAAAAGTGTTTATTATTCAGTCTGTGAGGAATGGAAGGAAAATATAGTTTAGTCAAAGAGGCAGTAGTAGAATTCCTGTATAGTTCATTCCACTCGAGTATTGTATCATCCCTACTTTTGTTCTTGTAAAATGACTTAGGAAGTATCATTGGAGTAATTACTTGAAGATGTGTAGCTTGTTTTGCCAACCAATCAGCCCGTTCATTTCCTAGATTGCCAGTGTGGCCACGTACATGAGAAAAGATAACATCAACACCTTTATTATTAAGGTCTTTAAGAAGAGCATGGGAAGTCACAATTAATTTATTATATGAGAAGATATTTCTAAGAGAATAAAGGATGAAAGAGAATCAGTGCGAATAAGAAATTTAGCACTTAACAAACAGTTGTTAGATATCCACTTAATTGACTCACTAATGCACAGTAATTCGGCTTGGAAAACACTGCATTCATTGGGAATTCTAAAGAGTTTGTATTCCAGTTCAGAACCATGATGGAAAACGACATAAGCTAATCCAACTCGATTATTAATTTTACTGCCATCTGTATAACACACAACAGGGAAATTATCATCAACAGAATTGTCATAAATGATAGTTTGAATTGGCAAACGATTGGCAGGATGAGGAAGATCTTCAAACAACACCTTGGCATCGAACATAAATTTGCTGAAGGTATCTTTAAACTTTTTGTCATTCAAAACATGAAGGTCAATCGGAGGAAATCCTGAAATTGCGAAACAGGCTTCATAGCTAATTGTTCTCTAGCCACGCACAACTCTTAGTAAAATTCTTCTTTGAATTCTGCGAAGTATACAGGAATTAATCTTCTTTTCCAAAGCTGTTCCCCACACTCTAGAAGCATAGCAAATAAAGGGGACAATACCCTGCTTATAAATCATATCAATAACATTAACTTTTAAACCAAAAGTATTGCAAGAGACACGATTAAGTCCTCTAAGTATATTTTCACACTTATTGGATAAATACATAATATGATTTTTCCAACAAAACTTATGATCAAGAATAACACCTAAATATTTAATTTCATTCACCGTTTCCGAGTAAGGTATTATCCAAGTACAGGTTGTTGGTTTGTATAGCTGACATGCTTTCTTTTAATTATCATAATTTTAGATTTATTAGGATTGAATTCCAATTTCTGTTCTCTGGACCAATTGGAAATAATAGTAAGGGTGTTTTTGAGCCGTATTAAAGAGAGTAATGGGACACTTTCTCTTGAAAGCAAATTAGTAGATCATCAGCAAAAGCAATTGTTTTACAACTCGGACAATGTGAGAGTCTATTGAGTAGATCATTCATAATTAAATTCCACAATAAAGGTCCGGAAACCGAGCCTTGAGGGCAACCTCTTTCCAAAATGCGGGAGGAAGAAATGTGGCCAAGGGAGAGCAATGCAGATCTGTCATGCAGAAAATCTTTAATAAGGTGGTAAATATTACACGAAGAGAGTTTTTCAAAATTCGAATCAGCTTTTTTTTTAAATTTTATCTTTTCGATTTTATCGCATCATTTTGAATAGTTTCATTCTTTTAGAAATGTGGTTTTGGCAACAGTTTTTAATTCAATTGTGTACTGGACTGCTGACTGTTGAAAATCAGTACTGTTGCCACTTGGAAAAATGAGGGCGATAATTCTGTGCAGTTTTTAAATTTGATGTTTGTCTTGGATACTGGACGTTTCTTGAGAGAAGGCAATGGGAAGTTGGTTAATTTATTTATTATGATAATTAATATTTGTATTAAGGGATAATGCTTATTTCATCATAATTTTGTTATGTATAATATTTTTTTTTTTTTTGATGAAGTTGTTCTGCAGAGTAAAATTCTGTGCAGTTTTTAAATTTAACGTTTGGTACTCCCTTCAGGCATTTTTCTAAGGTACATTTAAAAGCAAGATGAAGGCTGGCAGCATAGCTGCTAGTATATATAATAAAGTAATATAATAAGTACAATGATAGAATAATTTAATAGTACTAATTTCATACTGCAATGGCAAATGAAATTTTTATTAATTATACATAAATGGGATTAAAAGCATTTAATTAAACAAAATAAGAATGATATGTAAAGGAAGAAAAAAATCAGTGAATAGAATAAGCTTATAAACACACACAAATATTCATTTTTGACAGATAATTTCTGGTGACCACAATTCAAAAATCACTAGTAATAATACATCGAACCCACTATTGTGACCGAAGCATTGGCAAAACAGGAAATTAAGCTAGGTATTATTCTAGGTGACGGTGGATCATACCTCTGTGATTTTTGTTCTGCCACTTGGTAGACCCCATGATTGCTTGATATTCCGGGTATGATCTCTAATCATTTGATCAACAAAGATACATCAATGATTAACCATAAAATTGGCTATAATCTGATTCCTCTAGTTTCTTGGTTCAGCCTTTCCAGCAGTCTGTGTATATTGTTGAAATCTCTCTCATGTGTTCGTGAATTTCTTCCATTGTGGTTCTTGCACTTCTACTGTGCATTTGAACTAAGAAGCACATGTTGTCTTTGCAGCTAAGCTGCCTAAAATCTACTGTTGTGGAAGAATTCCACCTGCATGGTTCTTCCATTTTACAACAAGGGATTCATCAATTTTGACAATCTTATCAGGTTCTTCTACTTTTGTAGTTGAAAGTTTTATCATAATATTAGAGCACACTTTCCTCACGTAGTTGTTCTAGTCAACAACTGCCATATGTCCTTTGCTAGACTGCTTGTCTTAACATTGTACTGAAGTGAGTTCTTAGCTTACTGAAGTGATTGTACTGAAGTGAGCTTAGTTCTTAGCAACAACATGTGAATTGCAACACAGTGGGAAATGATGTTCTCGATATGTTTAACCAATTGCCTATGCAAAGATCTTTCTTTATTTTACAATTTCTGAAGTAGCAACTACAAATAGTCTCTTCTTCAATGTATAAACGAATCTTATAACCAGTTGTACAAATTCTTTTGAAAAGCAAAATAGGCTTCTCTTGGGAAAAAGCTATTATACCTTCTTCCATCAATGGCAGACTGAAAAGAGTAAGCATTTTTATGAACAAAAATTTCATGAATGGATGAAGCATAAGTCATGTGTATATGAATGGCTGAATATGATAAAAAATGAGCACAGTCCTGCAATTCCTGCCAAGAACACAGAATTGCATCACAGTTGCCATTAATTCACACCAAGGCTATGCAGTTGCTATAAAAGAAAAGTACAAAGTTCTGTCTTGTAGCTCAATAGGGATCATCTTTTTTAGTTCTTTGATCTCACACACACACACACACACGCACACATACACACACACACACACACATATATATATATGGTGTTCCAATATGTTTACTGTACCATTAATTTCCTAGAGTTGGTTGACATAACAATTTCACATAACCTTTAAAACACAGAAAAAAGTAGGAATAAAGATAAAAGGAAAATAGAATAAAGGTGTTTTCGTTTATGAATAGAACATGGAATGTTGATTAAGTGCATCTTAAAGTGGGTAGTTTTAAATGTTAGTAGTTTTCTTATTAAAACTTTCAAAAATTCTGGAAACGATACGAAAAATAATTCAAAATATAAGCAATCAAAGATATCCATACACATCATTATATCTGATTTTCATACTCTTAGAGGTTTGCATTAAATTAGCATTAAAATCATAGGAAACTGGATGAGACCACAAGGTTCGTTCGTTGCATCTTAGGATTCATTATAAGCTGGGTTCATGATAGTGAGGATCCACTGTATTAGCTTCCTATCATTGAAGATATTTAATAAAATTAATCCATTTAATTTATACATACCTTGGTTCCAAGACATGAGTAACGGCACTGGCACACTTGTAGCCCAGTTCATCTCCATATTTTACAGCAACTCCAATATCACAATGGTCAACACTAAGTGTTGCAGTCTGAAAAGAATACAGTATCATGTTATTTAAAGATAACCCACTGAAAAACATATAGCTGTTACATACAACTAACTCCATTTTACTGTTTGATGTTCAAAAGAGAAACAATCATATCACAAACAGAAAATACTGGTAAGCTTACTTAGTAATTCCAAATTAAAATAAATTTGATAAGGTTGTCAGAATTTCTTAATTTTACAAAAACTATGCATAATATCTGATAAATTTTATTAATTAAAAATTATTCATTATACTTATCACTAGGTGCTAGTGAGTATGTTCAGTCAGTGATAAATATGCTTAGTTCACAATTTATGAAAGAGATTTATCAAAGACTTCAAGATGATTGGTGATTATGCATAATTTCTGGATTAACCACTTTTACTAAAACATATACATTTTACTAAATGGGAATCAATATAGGTCTGGAAAAATTTATTACAGAAGCAATCATTAGCTTTTAAACATATAGCTGTTTTTAAAATAGGCTTACAATTTTTCATTTCATTTTATACTGATAATATCATAGATGGAAAATTTCACCAATACTTTCAAGCTTTCTTAATCACAAGGATGTGCAATAAACAAGCTGAAGTGAATTTCAAAAAGAATACTTCAAAAATAAGAAGAGTGGAAGGAGAACAGTTCAAATCAACTCAATGTACTACTATAAGAAAATTTTTTATTCCAATGAGTTTCAAAGAGTAAAACTTTATCAAGATGAAGCAACAGGCCATACTTCAAAAAAGTACTAGTGTGTTCCTTGAAAAAACAAAGACTGATACAGGTATCATATACAGTACAAAGTCCGTAATCCGGACTCATCTGGACTTCAGTGATTCCGGATTAGGGATTTTTCCAAATTATAGATCATCAATTTAAATCTGGTAAGATGGCATGCAGAAATTATACAATTAAATATATGGAACCAGTTTTTGGCTTTGAGGTCCAGATTATAGATCATTTCGAATAATGGACGTCCGGATTGTGGACTTTGTACTGAATATACCTTTTTCAATGTATTCATGAATGAAGCAAAGTCTCCTGATATTTTATCTATGGACTATTGTGCATCCAGTCTCTTGAAAACAGCTCTTGCTAACCACAAAATCCACAACAATGGATAAATTCTGGAAAGTACTGGTGGAGGAATAGAATTAGTGCCTGTGGAAATTTTAAGAAAAGCCGTTCTATCATGGAAATCATGATGCAGACTTACAATCCAGAATAAAGGCTATCAGATCAAACATTTAAAATATGCACTTTACAATTTAAACATTAATTAAATGGTCCCAAAATTGTATTAAAAATATGTAACCACCTTTAGTGTAATTAACTCTGGACAACTGTTTCTGTGCAAAGTAAAAAAAAAAAAAAAAAAAAGAATATATATATATCACGGTTTAAAAAAATACTCTATTCTATAGTCCACTGTATTTTTCTTAAAAATGAGCATTATTGCTAATAAATAATAATAAAATTAAGTAAAATCTTACTCTGTTCAGGTAGGTAAGTTCCGCTTCATGCCATTGGCCATCACTGAGGCCTCCTGGTATGCTAGCAGAGACTTGTGACACATTGGCACCCAAAGAGAAGGAAACCACTAGTTGACTGTCAATGATTTCCATGGCAATAAAATCATGCTTGTCGTTATAACGGCCATTATACAGAATGAGTGCATTTTTTTCTCGTGTAGCAAACCTGGAATGTTAACAGTCATTTTATTACTGTTTTGTTCAAAAGACAGAATACACAGTTTTTGAAAGTACAGTGGACATTCGAGATAAGCTATGATTAAGGGTGTGAACATCCAATATAGTTTTAAATACATATATAGATTCCTTTACCATCCCCTTTTCTTAAATGTTAAGTTGGCATCATCATTATAGCCACGTTCACATTTACTTCTCACATACACCTTGTGGTTGCTGTTGTTAAAAGAGAAGTCTAAATACTATCTAAATGATAGATGATGAATTAGAACATTTAGAAAACATAACAAAACATTTGTTATGTGAAGAATACATCTATAAGCTCTATCAAAATTTCATGAAGTGATAGGAAAAGTACACAAAATGAGCTTTTGACAGCTCATGAAAGCTAAATCCAGAGTTCAGATTTAAGTATTCTTTAGAGCTATATTTCCATGCTTGCTTTTAGCATGGCACCAATGCCTTTTCTCCATCTAAAGACTTCTGACAACTGAACTCCTTGAAGTAAAACTCATGATAATAGTGAACTGTACTTCATTTATTTTTATTCCACCACTTGGCGAGTGCTACAGTCTTTCAGCATGGTATGCATTAACAGCAAATATTGGTCCAACAACCTGACATTTATGATTTTCCCAGCTCCTCTAATTTCATATGCTCACTCAAAGTCTGAATAAATCATCGATATGTCTTGTACTTGGTTCAAGATTTTAGCCATAAGCAGGACTAGCGCCAGAGGATGTGAGACCACTATATATGTTTTTCGTTACGTGCAAAGGGTGATCATATGGTGGTTTAACAGTCTCAGTTCTTATAAGAACACCATTGGTAAGCAACTAGACCTTACTACATCACAGTAGATGATATATGGATTTTGCTTAAATGTTGTACTGTTTAACTTAATGCCAATATAGCATAAGAACCTACTGATCCCAGCGAAGCAAGTTAGCTGAAGCTTTATTCACAGAGGCATAAGTTTACTTTTGTCAACTGACCTTAGACCTTGTTTGACAAGGAGGTTAGAATAATACTCTTACTGTTCATTCTAACCTTGCTAGTGTAAATGAAGCTAACAACATAATTCGACAACTGTGTTATTTAAGCTTGTCTCTTTCATAAAGATGTATTGATAAATTTTCATGAAAAAAATATACCATTAAGATATTTCTATTAACTGATATACCTGGAATTAATATATTTATCTGGAAATTAATTTTTATTAATTTCCAGATTTATAATGCTTTAACTATCAATGCTCCTTTTTTCAGTAAAACTTTCTTAATTAATGTAAAAAAGATAAATAAAGAGATAAAAATATTACTTATATCACATACAAAATATTACATGCAAAAAAATATTAAGCAAAAATTAACTCATTTTTTTTTCTCAAGTCAAAAACCGTATGTCTGCGATGTTATCATGTATGATGATTTGTAAGCATTATCTGTTAACCATGATATTTTGTACGATTATGTTTCAAACCGGAAGTTTTTTGTCCCACTTCATTTTCTGCCATGATGCTTTTTCCTTGTTCCTTTCTTCCAAGTGTTAATTTTGACCATCGTGTTTTAACCAATAACCTGCTTTAACAACTAAATAAATAAAAATAAAAACTTCTGTAGTTTTGAGCGCAAAACACGAAGGCATATTTGAGAACAAATTTACTGAGTTAGGTTATTTTTTTATGGCTGATACAAACATAATTCAAAACCCTTGAAAGCAAATTTATGGAACAATTACAGAACGAAAGTGTTTCGTTTTAGTGTTTATTCATTTTGCCCGGAATGACAAAGTATTTGTTGATAAATTTGTAGCTGGTCTATTGAAAGCATTTATTAAACATATCTTTGCACTGAATGATACTTAAACTTCTTACTTATAAAAGCAGTTGGGATTATCATTGCATAAGAACCATGAAAAATGATATTCTATTTATACAAAATCCTACCAGCCAAGATTATGAGATGGTTTTCTGTCTTACTTTAAGAACCTTAGTGGCTGAAAGTGTGCGTCTGGAATAAATACTTAAAACAAGAAACAGAAATTTACCACATATGATGTATTTCTAGTGAATAGGTATCTAACGGTGTGTTTAATATGCTCACAAACCTGAGTTTGATATGAAGCCTGTGCCGTTGTCTGAGGGATGGAAAAGTGAGGAAAGAGCCCCTAGAGAAGCTGCGAGACCTCAACTCGCACAAACGACTGCTCCAGGATGCCTGGGAGCAGTTATCACAGCTGAAGCCACCATCATTTAAGTTAGCACACTGAGAATCACCTTTGCAGACAGAGTGTGCGCCATCTCCACATCGATCTTCCCATTGATTGATCTCACAGTTTTGACCTGCAAGAACAAAATTCAGCATAAATATTCAAAAATGTTGCTTAAGAACACTTTATTTAATACATAAGTTTTTATTGGGAAAGTTTGTTACAAAATCACTGCATAACATTAAGCTTCTAAAGCTCAATCACACACGCATACAGTCGAACCCCACTATAATGAATTTCAAGGTATCGGATGTTTGGTTTGCTATATCGGAATGATGAAATAATAATAATAATAATAATAATAATAATAATAATAATAATAATAAAACCAACTAATTTTAAAAAAATCATATTAAAGTTTAATTGCATTTATTACTACGCACTGTTATAAAATGTGTTTTTCATTCGTCTTAAATCTCTGGAAACTGTTAGGCAAATTCATTGATCTTTATCTGAAGCACTTGTTTCAATATTGGCAGTTTACGGCTTCTTAGACCATAGAACTATTTAGCTTCTTCAACATCTCTATGTCCCACCTTTCTCAACCTTTCCTTGATATCCAAAATTTTCCATAAAAAGAAATTAACAGAGTTTCGATTGTTTTCGTATGATGCCATCTATAGATTTGGATAAACTGTATTTCTGGTAGATGTCGATTTTGATGCATCCATTTTGTATTTATCGAATAATGCACACTTTCCTTCAATGCAGAAGCCATCCGAACGAATTTTCGACACAAAAACAGAGTGTAGACAGTTTGAGCAAAGAACTGAGAGTTTTGTTTTTCTAGAAAATATGGAAAAAATTATTGTCACCTACGTATCTTATCGAATATTTAGTTTAATTTTAAAAGAAGACTTTTAATAGATGATTTAATAGATAGTTTTAATAGAAGAGAAAGATTTCTACGAAATTTATGCTTCACTCACACAAAATCACATTTGTGGATAAAAAAGGGAAAGCCTCTTTACCTGATTTATTTTTAGGCTACTTCAGACTAATTCCAAAACTGAGAGCTGTATTGAAATGATCAGGACTTCCGAATATATTGGATATCAACAAAATCCAAGAAAAGTACTTGAAGCAGTCTCTGGAAAATGAGTTTCGGCAATTGCTTTCGGAATGGGAGAGAACTTCTAATTCGCTGAATAACGGGAATTCTTTAAAGGCGACAGTATCCACTAGTATACAGTTTCACAAATACACTTTTTTAAAGGTACATACCGGAAATTAAATTGTCGCAACTTATATATCAGAAGCTACCTAATATCTGGGCCAAAACAGCATCTCAAAGCGCTATTTCAATTCTTTTACCACGGTTTTACCAACGGCACAATAGATCATTGGATTGCTATTAAACAATATGCTTACAGTGGAAGTATAATATGTCCCTGGATTCCAGTTCAGTAATTTGTTTGCAGAAGCTAAAACTGCAATATGCCACCAGACTGCTATGCAATTATTTGTTTACAATAAGTATTAATTCTTGTTTCTCAAAGGAGATGAATTATTTTGATAGACCAACTTCATGGATATTTCATTACCTTTAATTTTTATGTGTCGTTAGGATTTTTAAAGTACGAAATTTTGAAAAATTAACTGAGCACTAACGAAAATCGAACCTGAGATCTTTAACTGCTAGCTGAGTTTGCTGCCCATAATATCATAAGGAATGCTTTGAATAATTTATAATATTAATATTTTTACTGTTCCTGCAACCTATGCAGAGTAATAAAGGAATGTATTAGATTAAGTGATCTCCTTTCGCCGCACTGTTTTGTTTCAATAATGACTTTAATATTACAGCAGAATTACTTCGGATAATCGGGGTTTTGCTGTATTTTTAGGTAAAAAAATTTTGTGATAGTGTTTCCTCAACATAGGAAAGCTGAAAATTTCTTCTTTCTTTCTATTTGTTTTTATTCTGTTCATTAATTAATCTTTGTAAGTTCAAGATGTTATCCAAAAGTTCCGATACAGTTAGGCTTTTCTAAGCACATACCTATTATGAACATTTGGTTATAATTATTCTTTTGATCTAATGTATTTTTTGAAGGACTGTACTAACGCCAGTACTACCCCTGAAAGATTCTAACAAAAGAGTTAACAATAAATGGTTATAGAAAATCAAAAAAAAATCTATTAAAATAAACTTCTGGTTAGTGATAAGGATTACTAAACGTCCAAAATTCTTCAAAATATTTTATTATTTATTTATTTGATTATTATTTTCTATTTTTACAATTTAAGCTCTAACAAGCACGCAACTCAAAACGAACGTGTTCACAAGAGCTCAAAAAACATTTTCTTTCTCTTAAGAAAAGAAAAGTTTTCCAAAAGCGAAACGAACTGCCTTTCGAACAAACTACAAATTGCCTATTATGTCAAACTACCGATTCCATGCGCCCCCTAAAAGCGTTAGCCTCGAAGTAACAGTAAGAGAGGAAGACGTGTAGAAAGGATTATACAGTTTAAAGCACCTGAACTATATTGCTGTAGATCGAGACACAATTCTAAATGCATTTTTAAAGCTGAAACAAAATATCTAACAATGTAACAGGCAAGCAGAAAATATATCTAAAAGGTTTCAAGATTCTGATGGGTGAAAAGCTATATCTCTTCTCTATGTTATTAAATAAAATACAATTTTTTTTTTTTTATTTTTAGAAATAAGCTTTTATTTAAAACGGTGCACTAAAGGAAGAAAAAATAATTTATCATACAGTTTAAGAAGCATAACAAATTAAATAATAAATAATTTTATTTACAGAATTCATCAACAGTTTTATACCGCGAATAATAAAAGTTTGGGGAGCCCATTATAAATTGAATATAAATTCAAAAAGACAAAGGTTTATACAAGTACATTTGACAATACAAAAATTTCATAGATATTTAGTCGTCTTTGATATTTAGTCGGCCAACGCTTTCATTATTCGAGGCATAGAATTCTAGACGAATTCAGTAAATATAATTATTTAATCTTTTATCACCATTAAACTACATAATAAAATTATTTTTCTCCTTTTAGTGCATTAATGAGATACATTCCGCAAGAGAAGAAGAGGAAGAATAACCTTGCTGTTTACGTTAGTTATACATAAGTCATGTGATCTTTGAGGTCATCTGCATTGTTTGTTTACATTAGTTACGCATAAGTCACATGATCTCTGATGTCATCGGAATGTATCTCATTATGTCCATTTTAAATCATAGCTTACTACTATATAAAAACTACTTTAACTGCATTTTATTTTTTGTTTTTCACCTTATCAATGATGAAATTTTTAATCATTATTAAAAAAACAAGCAATAAATTATATGGAAATTATGAAATAAAGAAAGCAATATTTGATTTAAAAGAGAGCAAAATGTTTGTTTCATAACCTGTGAAAAATTCAAAATTTCATATCAGATATAATTTTAAAATCATTAACGTCATACAGGCTAAAAAATCCAGTACTTTAAAAAATTCGCCAACAATTCAGATATTAAGATACAGTTTAATAAAAGTTTCATTGAACAATTTTCTTACGCTCTATTATACGGTACAAAAAGTAAAGTTCTGATATGCTAAGTACGTTAAAGAACATAAACGAGAAAAACCGTTTAAACATTAAATTAAAAAAAAAAAAAAAAAAAAAAAAAAACCCTAAACCGAATTTTGAAAAAAAAAAAAAAAAAAAAAAAAAAAAATCGTTTAATCACATTGCATTATAATCGACAAAGAGTGTGTGTACAAAATTTTAACTCGATGCATATTAGGAAGTAGGTTAAAAACCGTTATAAAACTCCACCCGAACTAAATAAAGTTTAGAATTAGTTTTAAAAAATTTAAAATAATGAAGAATTTATTTGTATGTATGAACGTATGTTCTTTGCATTGTGGAGAAAACGCGACATATAAAGCCACCAAATGTTGAACATACATAATCCTCGACCGAACATGCACACCTCGAAGGTTGAATTTTGAATTATGAGTTTGTTTTTTACTTACATGTTATTTTGTGCGAATTTAAAAAGTTTTTATTAAAAATCAACGACATAATAGTTTTGCGATGACACGCGGCAAAGCGTTAGATATTTATATTTCAAATTTAATCAGAAAACTCAGCAATATAAAAGAAATGTATTGCCTCTCGGCAAAACGTAAGATATTTGTCTTTCATGTTTAATAAAAGAACTCAGCAACTGAGAGGAAATTTGTTGCTACTGATCAATATAAAATGTATTTATCTTCCAAGCATTAGTTTGTTATCATTTGGGGAAGCGTAAGGTATTTAATTGTTCTTTCAAATTTATTCCTGTTATTTATTCATTAACAAAACTAAACGATTCAAAAGAAATAAAAACATATTCATTTCAGTTATTATTAATTACTAGCTAGAACCGTGAAATTACATTAGCTGGATTCATTAAAATCATTACACATACTTTCCCTTTTTCACAATAACTACTTTAGGTGGTTGGCGTTAAGCGGCTAGTAATAATAAAACCCACAAACGTTAAGGAAGCTAATAATGAGCAATTAGAATCGGCATAACGTGAGTAAATTTACAGGACTATCGTTTCGAAAGTTAAACAGAACCTGCTGCAGAAGCGACAGAAAATATTGCTCATTTTCAGAGATGATCATCTGAGGAAATCGAATTTTGATTTCTTGATCGTCCCGTAAGTGTCCACACTACTTCATAGAAGAAAGAAAGGCAACCTATAAACGTTGCAATCTCGAGTCTAGTCTGACTCAGCATATCTCGCCTCCGAGTTGTTTAATTTATCTGGAAGGACAGTACGTGCCAAGGAGGTTCAAGACTACATTATATTTACCAGATATGAATAGCTTCTTGAATGCTTTTGATTATCACATTTGATTATCACATAAATCTAAAGCTCATATCACACTGCACTGTAAAAAAAAAATCTGTAAAGTTACTAAGAAAAGTCGTGGAAACTGGGATGCCATGGATTATTTGAGTGATCAAAACAGGAATTTTCTTAGTAACTTTACAGAGATTATACCTGTAATGGTTACAGATGTTTGACATGTAATGTTACAGGAAGTTATTCTGTAGGCATAACAAAGTTTTTGTATGTTGATTACCGAAGCATATGCCTGTAAAGGTTACAGATCAAAGATCTGTAATGTTACAGGAAATTATCGTGTAAGTATAACATGTTTTCATATGTGATTTACCAATGTAAACATCTGTAAAGATTACAGGAAATAATAGTGTAAGTAGATCGTAATTTTTGAATGTGAATTACTAAAGGGAATATTTGTAGATTACTAGTGTTCTGCTTGTAAGGTTATTGCAAGTGATTATGTAAGAACATGTATTTTCATGTGAAATTTTAAAGGATATATATGTAAAAGTTGCAGATAATTTACTTAAAAGTTCTTCCAAATAATTATGCATATAGAACATATTTGTCTTATACAAAATACAAAAATGATGTATTCCTAAATATTAAATATTTTGATTGTAATATTACTATAAATAATTACACATGTAGAACATATGTTTTATGTGAAATGTCTACAGCTACTGCTTGTAACAAAATATGCTGCATTTATTTATTTGTGGGGAAAGGGAAGTTATGTAACTTTAAATATAAGTTTTTTTTTTTTAAGGAAAAATAC